CTCCTCTTCCCTTAGCCACCTCTCTCCTGCCTCCCTGACAGCACATTGGGAGCTTATATTTTTTCCAGTGCACCCCTACTGCTTCTCAACTTATCTGCTACTTTTGCAGAGCCAAAAAGGGATGCAGCATGTCAGCAGCAGGGATTATACACTTCCTCTTGTCCACAGTGCTGTGCAACTCCCACACATGAACCAGAGTGGGGCAGGAATGAGCTTCCCTGCATGTGACATGAGGGACATGCATCTCTAGATGACCCTGTTTTCTTCAGCTCTCCCCTTTAACCATCCTGCTTTCTTATATTCCTAAAGAACTCAGCTAAAGAAAAAGCCTCTCCCATGCAGTGCCAAAGCATAACTGTCTTCCGTTACCCCCATGCAGGTCTCTAATGGTTTGCCTCTGTTATGCCTGTGCTCTGCTGACCAAGACCACTCCCCATTTCCTAGACAGGCTGTCACAACTCTCATCCTTGTACTAACTCTAGCTTAGGATAAAAGTTGGGTGCATGTGCTTCTCCTTCCCCATACCTCTCTTCCAGTGTCTGGAAGCCTGGGCACATAGCATGGTGTGTTTCTGTAGGAATACTACTAAATTCCATAGACATTTCAGGGCTCAATGAGGTAGTAGATGTGCTCACTGCTGGGAAGTGTGTTTAACACTAACTGAAGGGTAGAGACACACTAGTAGAGCTCTTTACTTATAAAAATGATAGAACTGAAGATTCCCAGCTCCTTCTAGCCAGGGGACAGGCATCCATCCAAAGTATGGTCACATATTGTCCAGCTGCATTAAGCTGCACATACAGCCTTGAAGATGGTCCTATGGTCCAATGCTGGTCTGCTACAGGAAAAACAAACACTTGTGAAGCAGCTTCTGCCTGCTGATTCTCAGTCACTGAACCTATTTATGGAGATGCTAAAAGGCAGCACTACACAAGAAAGCCTGGAAATGGTTAAACTTAATCCTGGATTCAAATGGTCTTTTGGAAGCCCTCATGGACTCAAAGCTTGCTTTCAGCTCACCACTTTCACAGTTTGGTTTTATTTGTTTGTTTGTTTTTTAAACATAATTTATCACTAATTTCCTGTTAAAATCAGCCAAAAATAAAATCTAGTTGCTGTAAACACTTGTCCTTTCAATTCTGAGCTGTCCATGGATAAAGACCTAACCATAGTTTGGTACATTCAGAAATTACAGATTAACTGGTGAGTCTTTGTGCTGATATTGATGGGGCTTCTCAGCCATACCATGCATCCCCCCACTTTCCTTTAAAGCCACGTAAGCAAAAATTCAAGGCCTAAAGAAGTGAGATGAGAAGGCTACAGGGGACTTGAGATAAACAGCAACATCACCCTCCCTTACACAGGAACTCTTTGGCCATGGATTTATGCAGCATCAGCTGTTTTGGCTGCCTTAGTTCACTCTGTAGGAAGTAGGAAATTCTATCTGGCAGCTCCTACCTCTCCTCCAAGACCTGTTCACTGCTGGGACAGGTCTGCCTTGTCACATTCAGCACAGGCTCATTCCTGGAGCTCAGAGAATCCATCAGCTTCTAAAGAGAGGCTTCTGTTCTTGCAAACAAATTGAGTAGGGCAGTAGGCAGCAGCCAGTGCAAGGATCTGAGTAAATTTCATTCCAACTCAAACAGCAGAAAAGGCAAAGCAGAGAGAAATTGTACTTTGAAATGAGGTTGTTACAAGAGGGGAGAAGGGGATATTGCAGCTGAGCACATGGGTAGGAGAGCAATGGTGAGGGGGTGGTTGAGATTAAGCAGCTAGAGATTAACATCTCATGACTGATTTTGTTCACTGACCTGCAATAAAATAAACAGTAAGACTTGAACAAATAGGTGATAAGCCATGTTATTCCAGTGCTGCCTTTGCCATTAGAGTACTGCCATGATCTTCAGTTCTCATTGACTAATACTTCCTGGTTTGTATAGATAAGGCTGGTAGAGATAAGAGTTAGCAACAGAAATTCTGCTATGCTAATAAGCATAAAACCAATGTTTTGTTTCCAGAATTCAAGTACCCGCCCCTTCACTACTCCCTCCCCTGTTGGCTGGCTGGTTGTCTGCAAACACAAAAAAAAGGAAAAAATCAAGTCCAGAAGATCAGGTGGTTTGCCGTTCTTGTTTTCAGGCAGCCAAAATCAGGGACCTGAAAGATGCTTGTAGACACAGGCACAGTGGGATTGCTGAACAATAGCCTTCTACCACCTTGACTGAAATGGCCTCCTTTCCTGAGCTACATTGTCTCCTGAATCAAACAAAAAAAGAGCTTACTGCGAACAGACCAATTAGCCAGGAAAACTTCAAACTCCTTCAGCTACACAAAAAGCAATGGACATAGTACGAGATCAGACAAGATAGAGCCACAGATTTGTTCTACATGTCCCAGAAGAGACCTCTGATCATTCGTGTGACACAAATGTGTCACATCGTACAGTTGGTGCCTATCACTGCAGTGCAATACTGCCCACAGTGGGAGAGGTAAGAGACTATGCTGGGTCCGTTCTTTCTGAGTACCTGAAATCAGGGTGCGGAAGCCTTGTGTAGAAAGCAGGGAACTGAAGAGGGCATCATCTGCCTTCCCTTGGGCCATTTAAGAGCTGCCAGTTGTAGCTCAGAAACAGACTCCAACAGCAGAACTCATGGTGGCAACTTGGTGCTGCAATTCACAGTCCAGTTTGCGACACTGAAATCAGATGATTTCAGCTAACACTCTTGGCAACTAACAACACAGCAGCTGAGGCACTGACATACTGCCTGCAGGACCAGAAGCGCTAACTTCCTAAATTGCGCCACACAAGCTCACGAGTCAGAGTGTTCAAACCATAGCCAGTTACCCAGAGCACTGCCCATGCAAAAAAATCCCAATATCCCTTCAGACATATCACTACTGATTCTCTGGCTATACCTGAAAGTTCTCACTCATCTTGGTGAAGAGCTTTTCCTAGTCAAATGTCAGGTAGAAACAACTGGCATCCATCCTGGAATGGTAAGACACCCATTCTGTGAGAGACTGGTTTACCTGTAGGACATCCAAGGCTAGACAGGCAGGCCTTTCCTGAGGGAACTGCATTAACATCCATTGTTCACACTCATGTGCAATCCACGCAGGAAAAGTTGTGTCTCTACATCATTCATCATCTCTAAAATGTACCCACCAGTTTGCCATACAGTTAGACTTGATCTTAAAGGTCTTTTAAAATCTAAATGATTATATGATTCTGCACACAAGGGCCACACCTTGAAATAGTCAAATGGGACATTAAAGCACCGTAACTTTCTGTGTCAAGTGTTTCTTGTAGGCTCACATTGCCTGCTGCAAGCTCCATCAAGCCCAGGTCAGCAAACCAGAAGGCAAAAATCAAGCCCTGAGCAGTGTACTTGGAGTAACAGCAACAATACATCAAGTCAAGTACAACAGTCAAGCAAACATCACAACAAGGAAATCCAGCAGGATGAAGGCAGGTGGACTGGGATATACAGGACTGAATATACTAAAGACAACAGAGGGAGATCTAACCTGTTTGGAAATGGTGAGTGCACATTAGCCTCTGACATTTAAAAAGGATGCAGTTAAAAACAGTATCAGAAGTAGTTTGTAATGGAAGGGTGGGAAGGTGGAGGTTTTGTATTGCTCGATCCATTTTGCTGGAAGACACTCTCTTTGCTTTCTTGTCACAGCACTGAAAGTCCTTCTCTTTGGCCTAAAATCTTGTAAGCAAAGCTTCACTCCACTAAGTCTCCCAGAACTCGCCCTGCTCTCCCTCCTTACAACCACACTCATTTGTTCCACTGGAGGTGGAGACTATGTGGTTGCAAACAGAGCTCTTAAATAAATTACATCTACAAAGGTGTTCATGTCCATGCCAATTTAACTGAGAATCATGTTGACAAAATCTTTACATGTTTGAATGAGTTTCCCCATATGAATAGGATTATAAATCCAGTTTTGGAGTGCAGTAGTTTCTTTTGATCTGAAGCCTCACTTACTGGCAATATAAGACGTTTGTATAACTAGATTTGCATATTCCATGAAGCATTTTATTTTTAAGAATATTTAGGTGCACAAAAATGATGATCACAATAGAACAAGTCAAGCTTGCTCCAGCCCTGCACAAAATTAGTAAAAAAACTATAGAGAAAAATTTTCCATAACCTACCAGCTGTGTTGCAGCATTAAAGCACTTTGCTTCAGCATTAAAAAACAAACTTTCCTGGTTCCAGAGAGAGAGCAACTTGAGCTTAATGCAGCTTGCACCCTTTGAATTTTTAAAATAGACTTTCAAAGGGAATAATATTGAACCAACTAACCCAAACTGATTTATAGTGTTAGCCAGTAATTAAAATGCACTGATAAACCCCTGATAAGAACCATTTGATTTCAATCATTTCATCTTCAGGGATGCAGCAGTTAACCACACACCAGGAAGGGACTGAAACTTAACCATTATTTCCTCCTAACAAGTCTGTGTTAAAATCTGTACACAATAGAAGGGATTAGTAAGCAAAAAGCTAACGACCTCACACAAGATGGAGACTTTTCCTGTTTTCAGGATAAAGCAGGTGGCAAAGTATTGAAATAGAAGCAAAGTTCATCTGCTCTAACAAAAGGAAAGGTTACCACAGAGCAAACTTTGGCAAGAAGCATCAACAGAGAGTGAGGAAGGAGAGGAACAGACCTACACCTGAAACTGCTCAAGTCTGCCGAGTTCGACAGCTTTCAGGCAAAGGAGGATCTTTAAAGAACCATTCTTACACATAGATGCTGCATTGGGCCAGGTGAACCACATGAAACAGTTGAAACCAGCTGAAAGTGTAGCACACTCCACAGTTACACAATAACTCACTTGCACGCAGCATCAGCAAATGCAGCCCAAACCCCAGAAAAATTAGAGTCCCACAAAGCAAATGCAATAAATGCCATAACTACAACAAAGACAAAACACAAGTGTCAGAGCTTAGAACTGGGCCCTTTTGTGTTACTTTCTGCAGATGCAGCATTAGAACCACAGTATACAAAAGCAGCCTGTGTTTGCGCAAAGCTCTCAGCTTTCACCTCAGCAAACTGCCACAACCAGGAAAGGTAAGTGGAAGCCCGAGAATACCAGTACTTTGCTCCAACACAAACATTGAACAGACTGTAAATCTTGGCAAATGTTTATATTGCAGATAATTTTTTTTATGATGGGGCCACTGCTACAAATGTAGCAATGACCACCCTGACCTGCAGTTATATATGAAACAATGCACTTCCACCCAGGTGGTAAAAGGCAATTTCTCAGTGCTTTTTAAAAATAAGAGACCATCCTGACTGCCAGAAGAGGTTCATCGCTACAACTCCATCAAGTCTTGCCCTGTATTCCTACAAGTGAGCTCTGCTTGACAGTGTATTGCAGCTTAAGAAACTGAGTATAGTTTATCCTTTAAGAATGCAAAGTTTCACTGAAAATGAAGAAAATAATCTGTTTAATATCAGTGCTATTTCAAGGGCCTGTTCATAACCTGGAGATGGTAAAATAAAGCCGAGTGACTATTTCTAGGTAGAGAATGTTTTTACATGGCCCAGGGAAGGGCTAGCATGACCAGCTGATAGGAAGTTCTGCTGGAGGCTGGTGTATGCAACTTGCTCATGACCATACTATGTTCTGATTCAATGACATAGGAACATGTTAAATCAGGCACAGCTTTCCTAACGTAAGAGCTGTGTTGGTTAAAAACCAAGCAAAGAATTAATACTTGTTAGAGTACTTCTCTGGTTATTAAGATATATTATACAGTATAAACCATAGCAGCAGGAACACTCCACATGCCTGTGCCTCGCACAGCTCAGCAGTTGGCCGCATGGCAATTGCCTGCACACCAGCATATAATGAGAGCACATGGAGTAACATGGTCAGTGTCTTTTAGTAGCACAATTCTGAAGAGGCCACATTATTCATGCCTGGTCACAAGTAAGCAACACAGATCAACTCACAGTTACATGAATACATTTTCTCCTATTGTCACAATTTAGAGTCCTTATAAGTCCCATTTCTTGAAATCATAGAGCATCCTCCATTTACTTCCTACCATACATGTGATCATACCCATTTGCTGGCACTCATGAGCTCCTCCATGTGGGTAAGAATTAAACTGCCTCTATTAGCTTCAAAAGAGCGAATCTCTTTGCAATCCCATCTGCAGAATAGAACACGATGTCTCAGAAATGCACACAGTAGCTGGGAAAGTTGCCTTTTCCTCTACGCCTGTCTTGTTTAGTAATGTCAGAACCAGTTAAATTTCTGTCTTACCTACATTTTTGCTGCATTTAACGCCACAGAATTGTTTCCCACAAGATTCTATGAAAAAGAGGAGCTCCAAGGCTAAACGTTGGAGACCTTACTGGTGAATGCCCTTCCATCCCAGGCTACATCCGTCTCCCTGAGACCTGCTCCCTCAATGTCTTAAGGTGGCTCTTCGGTCTTGTATGAAATGTCCAACTTGGGGAGCCAACAGTATTTACTTGAACCCAGGGAATACAGAATATTCCTTAAGTTATTGCTCCCACACTAAATAAATAGTGAATGTATTCCAAAATCCTTGCTCAAAGGAATCTTCCTTCAGTGCTACAAAGTTGCGCAGTCAAGAGGAAAATGCGATTTCTCTATTTTAAATGCAGAAGGGGAATACTTGAAAAAATATTCACAATTATCCAGCTGTTCCCCAGTACATGATAATTTTTAAAGGTCCACCTTCATATTGCTAACCCTGTAGAGGATTAGAGTTCCTCAGTCACAATTTCACTGGATATAGCTATTAATTGGAAGGTCCAATTCTTTCATCTACATTTTTCCCAGTTTTACAAGTTTTGATCTAGGAAGAGATACCAGCTATATACTTATAGAGGTTAACAATATACAGCTGGGCCTTTAACAGTTCCTTAATTATCATGTAGTGTGGAAGAGAAAAGTAAGCCCCATTAATAACTATACCCAGTGAAGTTCTGACTAGAAGGAAAAGGACCAAAAGATGTAGAGAAACTCTGAACAAGGTGAACGCTGTACTTGGCATCAAGTCCTTCATGCAAACAAGCTGGTCCATGCTACCACCAGTCCAGTAAAGCTTTCACATCTTATCCCAGTTTATTCCTTCAGAAAGATTTTTTCCAGATCCTTAAATTGTGCCACTTTTATATTGCAAGTTTTAGTGAACCTGTCCTTCATAAACTAGATGTTTAACTGGTGTCAATCACCCTGCCTCTACTACCTTCAGAGCTGTGTTGATCTCTTGCAGCAGGAGATTGAGCCAAATCCTTTAATTGCCAGGCTATTCTGCATGCAGAAGGAATTAAATAAGCATACCTGTGTGGAGTAAAAACAGGACAGCATCTTGTTATACTGGAAAAAGCCTATCACAGCATTAATTATCATTCAAGTAATTATGCATATGCCTACTCATCATCACTGAATCATGCACCTGCAGACATCCTGTGCAATAGTGTATGAGAGCCATAATAAAAGTCTAACAAAACACAGTTAAGGGATCTCACACCGTAACATACCTCTTCTCATTTAGGTAGTGGAGTCTAGATATCTTGTTTCCAGGCACAGTTAGGCCAATATGCTACTGCTCATCAGCAAGGTGCTGTGGACTCTTGGAAAGAGAAAGCGGTACAGAGAACACTACTGCTAGGACACTCTGCAGCCTTATCTAGTATATGTTTAATTTTAAATTGTTTCATCTGGGCTTTAAACAGTAGACTTCGGGGTTTTTTTACCTAGTAAACATTCTGATAATGGAGCCCTTGAATAAAAGCAAGCAACCTCTACAGCAGTGAGGTAGACTGCTTAAAGCTCACATTTCCGCTTGCTAATGTCAGAGACCTCATTTAGCCACTGTTTCATGCTCACATGACCCATCAGTATCAGCCTGTTAGTGATCCTCACCAGCCTTTCCCTGACAACACTGGAGAGGCAAATAGAACCATTCTTTGCCCTTCTCATCTTTTATTTTGTAAATGGGACACTATCTCTGTCCTCCTGCCTGTCCTTTACCACACAAAGTAGGCCGTTCAGCTGCTGCAAATGTCTGGCGTATCTAAGAACATCATGCTCCAGCCATGGAGACATGAAAAATCCTGCTCTAATGATGGAGGTGTGAAAAAGCCTGTTTCCTCTTGTTCACAGCCTAATACTGTGCATTTATAGGAACAGCACAGTGTAAGTAATATATGTTAGTATGCTTCCTAACCAAGGTTTGCAAAATAACGCCACAGTTCAAGCAGAGTATCTACTTGCCTGTTAAGAGCAGAGCAAATATTTCCTTTGCCTTCAGCAAGAACAAAACAAAGAAAAAACAGACCAACTCCCCAGACAGCAATTAACATCTCTCTATATATTCCAACAAAGTACCTAGTTCAATTAATGCAACTGAGAAGTATGGCTATATAGAGATGTGTATGTTACATGCTGGCATTCCTTTGGTCAAAGGCAAGAATGAACAGAAATGTATAATTCGATAATCAGAGTAATACAGGATGTCTGGATTTTTGACCCTGTTGTATCTGAGAGTTTGGGGGTAGCACCTCTCCAAATTTCTCCACTTGAGACAGGGATGGTGGCAATTCCTAGTTTTCAAGGAGCACTGAGAGGTTTTACTTGCTTTTGTTTGCAAATGCTCAAGAGAGTCCCAAGGAGACATTAAGAACAAGCATGCTAGAGGAGAGGAGCGCTGGAAATGCACAGAGAGCATCCAAGTCTCCTAGGTTCCTAGCTTGTTCTATGGTTGGTAGCAGGCGCTACCAATGCTGGCATACAGGGTATGCTTCTCCACATAGACACTTACTGCTGTTTTCAGATTATCCCTATGCTTGAGTTTTTCTGAGGTGCAAAAGCAGCCAATCTCCACATAAAAGTAGCTGTCATAACACCATGCTAGTTGAGGGCAGTTGGAACAGACATAAATAACCAGATTCCTTAGATCATGGATACCATTTGGCACACAAGATATTTTGGCACCAAATATCCAGAGCACAGCCCATCTGTGGCATAAGGTCCTAAGAGGGAACAGTCTACAGGATTCAAGGAGAAGCTGGATGAGTACTCGAAATACAAATCCATCGAGACTTATTAACCAGAGAGAAATAACCTCCTGCTCAGGAAGTCTCTTGAGCTAAAAATACTTGGGGTCTTGAAGTTGCTACTTGCTTCATATCTACCCTTCCCTCAGTACCTACTCACAGCTGCACTTGCTGCCAAGTTACTTGACTAGCTAGACTGCTGGTCTGACCCAGCTGCTCTACATCTGTAGATGGCTGCTCTACATCTGTACCTACAATAAGGAACTCACATATTGCCCCTACTCTAGTCTGTCAAGTTCAAAACTCCATCACCAAGCCCAGTACCCCCTGATTAAAACTGTGAAGGATGGCCCAAAGGACAAGCTGGCTCCACAAAGCAAGCATGATCACAGAAAGCACACAAAAAAAAGTGTCACACTTCTGAGCCTGTCAAAGATATTTGAGAAATGCAAGTATATGCCCATACATAGATGTTGATACTGTAAATTAATTCAATTTGCTTAGCATTAACCATCAGGAATAATTTATTTTGAATCCAAAGAAAGCATAGAGGTATTCAGAAGCAACTGCCACAATCAGTCTGCTTTCAGCGTTAAGGGCTACAGTTTCCTGGCTGAGGAAGCACCTCCAAGAGAGGCTGATGGTAGTGATACCATTTACAACACCCATTAGAAGCACAACTAGAGGTGTGTAAAAACAGGCCAGCTAAAGACTAAGAATTGCACTACACCATATCAAGCAAGGGCCCAGAATGAACATAGTCCTGAGAATCTTTGGGATTAATCAGCTCAGACTGAAAACTTCCCAAAATGTTCTTCCTAAAAAACATTCTGGTTTTCAAGTTCAACTGCAGGTGAAGTTTCTTCAGCTGAAGAAATTACTATGCTGTGGCATTTTGTCTCAATGACTCACACCTGAGTTCCAAAAATTTGTGCATCTCAAGTGAAACATTTCTCTGTACAGATGTCAAAAATGCTCTTCTTGGCCTCAAACAAGTGGTACCCATTCTTCAACTTCCAGTCCCTTTCTCTATGAACACTGAATTATGTTAATGTAGAATTTCAGCAGTGAAGCCTGAATGGACGTAAACACCCATTACCATACATTTTTGACTGCATTATTTTCTCTCTCCTAAACACAGTCTTACTGTTAAAGAAAACAAGCAGCAATACCTGGTCTGAAGGCTCTTGAAAATCAGGACAGGTTTTATTAGCATACTGTGAAAACTGTTACACAGTACTGTCACCAGAAACCCATGTGCATTAAACCTTTGTTTCATATAATCAGGGAACATGGAGAGATTAAAAATAAAGTGTCATTAAACAATTCTGCTGCAGCATCTCCAGCACTTTCGCTTGCACATGTTCCATCAGAAAAATAATAGAAATATTGCTTGACCCACCTTTTACTCTGATCCTCTGCTTATTGACAGTAGCACCTCACAAATCATGGCTATTGCTTTTTGTTTAGGGAATGACAATGGAAAAAGGAAGGGGCATGCATTCTCTTTACTGTGTAAAATCTTGTCTTTTATCCTATTCCTGTGCAGGCAACACTGTGCATCCTATATGAAGGACTGCTGACTCCTCCCACATGCTGAGGTCTCACAACTAAACCCCAGCAAAAATGGCAAAGGTAACAACATCTGAGTGAATGGACAACCAACTGACAACCAACCCAGCACATGCACAGCTCCTTGTAGGCAAGTAGGTCTGCAAACATAGTTTGTTGGTCTACCAACAAATTAGCAGAGGGGAAACCTCGAGCGGTTGTTTTGTCATCTAGCTCTTTGATAGGTTTCCTAAAGAAAGCCTATAGTGTACGTGGAAGCTTTCAAATGCCAAAACATTTACATATAAAAATCTTCTATTTTTATATTTCTGTCTGGCTAGTTTCCGTTTGATTTTGTCAGCTGCTGAAAGAGACCTAAAGTTTATATATTCTTAGACTTCCATAAAATAAGGTTGAAGTACTCAATTCCAAACAAGTGTAATAAGTACTGCCAAACAATGCCACTGAATAAGTATCTCTAACTCGATTTTACTGCTGCTAAGATATGGCTGCCCAACAGCGCCTACAGTGCTCAATGATTAACTTGGTTTAGACGCAACCATCTAATTTCATTCATGTATCAAGAGACACAAAAGCTTCTGCACAACTCAGATATAGGAGACCTATTCCTCCACTGGTCTTTACTCTACATTGCAGAATATTTCTAGGACCCTAAGCCTGAGTGCAGGAAATGGGCACAGAGCAGAATGATTGTGTGATACACAGAAGTCGTCCATGGACCTCTGCAGTATTTGGATTGTTTTGTACAATCTGGGAAAAAAAATCCAGCTTTCAAACGCTTTCCACTGTGGCTGGGGTTACTTTTGTTTTATTGCAGATCACTCTGAGGACAGAGACTTTGAAGGCTGCTCCTGTGAAGCCACCACAGACCAGCCAGACCTGTGTACCCACATGCAACTCCTAATGTGGAAATTGGCTGCTGGATGATCTATGAACATTCCAGCTACATAAGCCACAAGCACTTCCCAAGGAAGAGAAAATATCCTGACCACCAGCACTAGACAGGCTTCAATAATTGTCAGGTCTTGTATCACCACAGCAGTAAGTTTTCCATACTGTCTCCAGGTACGTCACTGCCCATATTACAATCAGAGCACCAGTACAAGTTCCCAGAGACCTCTAAGTAGAAGGTGGGTAGTAGAAAGGGTACTTAGCAAGTTCACATAAGGGGGTTTAGCCTCCCAAAGAGTCAGTTTGGATTTTCAGCAAAATGAATGGTCAGTTAGTGCTTGGGAAGGAGCTCATTGTATTAATTTTTATTGTAATAGCACAATTATCTGATTGGTTTTTTACATATAAGAAACACTTCGCCAATCTTCTAAAAATCACTCTGATTATACATTATCTACACATGGAAGTTTAGTACAGAGCTGAGAACCAAGCCACATCTTCCCTGTCACAATAAATGGTTTCTTTTCAAGCTAGGGAAAATTGGTGACTACACTGCAACAGAGGCAACTTGACACATCCCATTGTAGAGACACCACTGTGTATATTTCAGCTGCAAATGAAGGCATATTTGCTTGTGATAGATTTTCCTCCCCTCCACAATCCTTCAGCTCAGAATAGATCTGTGTTTTTCCCTCCTAGCCTTATTCCTTGGAAGTTTTACTAAGAGATGTTGCCAAGATAAAAAAAAAATAATAATTAAAAAAAAAAAATCAATACTCACACATAAAGGTAAGGATTTGAGATTTGGCCCAGGAATAGCCTTGATGCTGGCATGTGTCCCTTCAATTTTAACGAAAAATGAAGTTCATCGATACTGTAACCTTTACATACAATTCAGAGTTTCCCTGTCCAGTACTAGCTTCATAGATCATCACAGCAAGTTTCCAGATACATTCCATCTGCATAGGATAATGCAACTATTTTTCACTGACATGCAGTTCTGGCCTTTACTTAGCTAAGTTCTGGGTCCAAGTGCTGAAAGCTAGTGCAGACACTCTTGTCTCCTTTCAAGCTGTAGGGTTGGAATGAGATGGACTGAAGGGAAGTTGACTTGGGAGACTGATGGGAAGTATCTGAGAAGTAGAGAAACTGAGAATTAGTAAGTGGGTAGAAAAATATCTTGAAATCACCACACATTTCTACATAATTTCCAGATTCCGGAAAAGAGCATCCAGAAAGTTTGATTACACAAATACAGATACTAAAGCATGGTTGGGTTTGTTTAAAAAAAAAAAAAACAACCCTCCTACAATTTAAGTTGTTAGTGTTTGCACAGCAGCAGTAGTCTTGTGTCTATACAACTGCACTTGAGCACCTGCAAAACCTGCATTGAACATTGATGCAAGAGTAGAAAGTATTTTTCTCTATCAAATCCTAGCTGTGCTAGATAAGATAAACTGTTTTGAGACTGACTCTTACTAGATGAAAAGCAAACAAAGCTGCCTACCTAAGGCTGTGCAAGAAAAACAGGATCAGAAAAACCTCCCCTCTGTCTCAGGCAGAGCCTTATCCAGCAATTATATCAACATCTAGGGACACTGAGGGCATGGGACTGCTGTGGCAATCCAGGTATATCACTGAGGTTTTCCCACCTGCATGTACAGTTGAAGTGTGGTGATCTTGGCTGGACCCCACTTCTGCTTCCTGCCCTACTGCAACTCCTTTAAAGCAAGAGCCAAAGCTGGATCCTTCCAACCAAAAGTGGATACTTCCTAACCAGCACTTTCCTATTATACATCCATGAGTACTTCATTAATGTGCTATTAATACTTTATTAAGGCCAAGGAGCTTCAGAGCATAGATGGATTAGGGTCCCTTTTCTTGCAATGCTTTTAGCCTTTGATTTAAAGCTCAGAGTGAAAAAGCACCTTGACCACAGTGGGCTTCAAAGCCTGGACTTGCTTTACTGGTAGAAGTAATTCCCCTGAAGTCAGTGGAGATAAGCTAGTAACACTCAGGCTCAAAAACCTGCATCTAAATTGCTGAGCTGAATTTTTATCTGCAGTCTCAGATCAATTTAAAATAGCACCTTTGAAGAAAAACATTATTTCAGAACTTAGAGCAAAAGAAGGAAATACATTCTTCATTTATGATAATGAAAATCCAAGAATCTACCTATAACTGAGTTCATGGGGCCAACTCTATGCTTGAATTTGTTACAGGGTATACCTTACATCTTGAATAGCCCCATAAAAGCAATGTACTTCTGAGAAGTACTCGTTCTGTGAACAGGCTGGCAAGTTTACAGCCACAGGATTATGAAGGTACTGCATACCAAACCTGCAGCTGTGACACTAGATGACTTTAGAGATGGTAAATACTGTAAATGCTTTGCTCTCTTCATAAGAACTATTTCTGTCAATAACTACTTGTAATGCTACAGATACCAAAATAAATCTTTCAGTTCCTTATTCACTTCATGACAGGAAAAAAACCACAGTCTTGATGCCCAACAGTTCCTGTTGCCATTTGGCATTAAGTCCAGAGTTTTACAGAGGATTGCATTGCTCCCATGTCCTACTCAGGGCTTACACTGTACTCTTTTGTTTAGCCAGGACCTCACACTGTTTGTGGACATGAACTCACATTGACCCTCCATAGCAAGGAGAATTAGCAGCTTTCCCTGGGGTCTGGGTTAGAAACCAGTAGAGAAACCCATTATGTTAGAGCCAATGACCCATTCAGCGTACAGGTGGGCCCCCACAAGTCTCACACATACTTGTAACAGCACACTGTTTACACAACACCGCAGGGTCTTTAGAACTCTGCTTTCAAGTTTTACAACACTGGCTATCATTCAGGTCTCTCTACCCTCTCTGTGTCAGAAGTTAGGCCAGCAGAGTCACTGGAGGATTCACCAGGCACAGGGAAGAACACCACCTTAGTTTCGCATCTCACTCAGAAGCAGACGACTTCTGATATGCCACAGTGCTAACACTTTGCAAAAAAATCCCACTTCTAACACAAGTTGAAGCTTTCCTAAGTCCATTTCCCTTTAGCTACTTCCCTTCATTTGCATCCTTCCCCAAATCAACAGGAGTTAGGACCCAAGCTGCTGTAACACATTCTTGAGACAACCTTACCCTGCCAGATCGCTAGAGATGGCCAACACCTACACATCCTTAACTCTTGATTGCTGTCATGTTTAGTATTTCCCCAACACGTTGATTGCTTTCAGGAGCTATACTGCAGAACCAGACCTGCTGAGCAGTGCAACATAATTAAATCATTCATTAAACAACCTCTAAATTAAAGCAGAATGATTTGAAATGCAAGTATAGTAGCTTCATCGGTCGCTGCAGTAAGATGGTGGACAGTAAGGGGTGGTGCACCTTGAATGGAAAGTCAGTTTCAGTGGAGGAAGAAGAACACTTAAGATGCAATCTTGTGCAGTACCAACCAGTGCCTCCAAGCATCTGCAAAATGAAGACAGCTGTAGCACAAGACTACATGCGCTAGCGTAGCTAATCTAAATGACAGTAGAGGAGAGGGGCAGTTCTAAGCCTGGACACCCATCCAGGAACCCTTGCTGGCTGTTAAAGCCTGTAAGAACCTGGGCAGATCAAAGCATATCAACACATACTATATGTTTAGTCTGAAAGAGTCTTTAGAATGTACCCTGCACAACAACATTCCTAGCACAGCTGCAAACTTAAGACCTCTGTTAAGGGAACCTGTGCTACAGAAAAGTAACAGAAGAGGTAAGTCACTGCCTGGGCCTTTTACAGCAGGAGATTCATTGTATTGAAAGCCCCCTGTTGAAACAAGCTGAAGGACAGAGAAGGACAAAAAACACTCGCCATGGTCTCAGGCTACCCTGGGGTAAAATCCTTCCTGAGTTTAGGCCTGGTAAATGGTTTAACCCTGCATAGACAAAAACAGAGCAGCCAGGGGCCAGAGGAACTTAATGCTATTAGCCAGACCAGCTTTAGCTGTGGCTGGTCTCCAACATTTTGAAAGAAACTAAAGCAACTAAAATCCCTAGATACTAGCTTATGTGTCAAGGGGCAAACAAATTCCTTCCCATTTCCAAGTTTTGCAAAAAACTCACAAGGCCTCAACTACCTGGGTACAATGTGAATGTGGTGACAAAGGAAGATTAAACATTAAGTTTGTTGCTTTACCTAACAGCGCAAATTGCATGCTCGTTTCATGCAATCACAGCCAGAGAAGCTCAAGGCAAGCTGATCCTGCTCTGCCCTCAGCAAAACATCATCTCAGAAGCCTTGCCATCTTGCAAGGCCCAGCTTCCTCTCTAATAACCACACCAAATTCAATCTCAGGTTTATTTCGCTTCAACTTCTAGAAACTAGCATCCAAAAGTTCTATTTCTTTACATACAGCAAAAGTATAGTAGGAGTTTCACATGCAATTGCCAAGGCCACTTGTTTACCTAGAATGTAAATATTACTCCTTGCTCCTGTACAAGGGTCTGTTTGTAAAGAAAGATAGCAGAGTTTAAAGACAGGTTCATTTCAGGTCTTCATTGTTAGAAACGACACATTAGGCCTAAGACATCAAGCAAAACCTCAGATAAAAGCTTTGTCATAAGCCTATCTCCACATGATTTTTGCCAGCCTAGGGCATGATCTTGGTAGAAACCTTAGAGCCAAACAACATGTTTGAGAATATCTGAAAGTCATATACAGAATTTTGTCTTTTTCATTTGCTTCTACAGAAAGCAAGTATAGCTTAACAAAAGCATTACTATAAGGTGTGTGTTTTTTCCTGCCATTGCAGGGGTCCCTGGACTCAAAGCTACAATCCAACGTTATTTATTCCTTTGCTGAATCTTTCCTTACCCAAAATTCACATCTTATCCCTTACCCATACCCTTCTCTCTACCCATTCTGTTATGTGAACTTACTGACTGACAAGTTCAGTCCACTGTAAGATGACCAAGTTGCTAATATACAGCTACTGAAGAGAGAAAGCATAAAACCACAACTAATGATTGAAGTATGAGAAAAAACCCAAAAATACTGTTGTAAATAGACAGTTACCACAAGACAACAGCTAAGGGGTAAGGAAATACAGATGAACGCTGCCT